CGGGTTCGGCCCCCCCCCCCCCCCCCGCCCCCGCACCAGCTACATGCTATCAGCAAGTCGCTTCTCTTCTCTGGGCCCCAGTTTCCCTTCGTGAAGGAGGGTTTGGGCCAGAAGGTTTCCAAGGTCAACCCTGAATTTGCTCTGCGGTTGATAGGGCAGCGGTTCTCCGGCTTCAGGGTTTGATTAGACCTGTAGCAGAACCAGACTGGGGGCTGGGGGGGGCTGAGAATGCCTGCCAGGTTTCCGAACAGGTCGGTGCTCCATGAGCACCGTCTGACGGAAAGCAGGTCTGAGGAGGCCAGGTGAGGCTCTAGGGCCAGCTCGGAGTCCCAAGTCCCTCTGGTGCCCGCATCAAACAATGAGATTAATGCCAGCGCTTTCCACTCCTAGCCCAGGAGCTGGGCGGTTACGAGCGTCCTCCAGGCTGCGGGGTTGTAGCAGCGGCGGAGGGGTGCTGGTGGTTAGGTATCGAGGCCGGAGGGCTCCGTCCGGCTTTGGCCCGCGGGCAGCGGGTCAGGTGGCCGCGCGCAGAAGGCCTAGGACTCGGACGTGGGTTTCAAGTCCCCAGCCTCTCAGTCCCCTGGGACTTGGGCCCTTCACCCCGGAGAAGTCAGCCTGTCCTCCCCGGGTGGGGGGCGGCGGGCAGGCTCCCCGCCTCCCGGGAGGAGGGAAGGAGGGAGGAGTCCCGCGGGGCGTGTCGCGCGAGGGCGTGTCGCGCGAGGGCGCGTCGCGCGCCCGGTGCGGGCCCCCTAGGAAGTGGATTTGGACGCTCCGGATCCAACCCCGCTTCCAGGTTTTCTCCCGTCCCGGCCCTGCTTTGCTCCCGCCTGTCTCCGGCCCCCCCGCCGCCCGCCCCCTCCCCCTGAGTGCCGCCCGCTGGGCCAAGTTTGTCGAGCGTCGCCGCGCACGCCGGCCAGTCAATCAGCGGCAGAGCTGAAGAGGGCACAGCCGTGCGGCCGAGGGCAGAGCGAGCCGAGCCGAGTCGAACTAGCAGGGCGGACCAGCGCCGGGCAGCCCGAACCGCGCGCCGCGAGCGCCCGCCGCCGCCCCTCACGCCCTCCTCGGCCCCCGCGGCGCCTGCCACCTTCCCCTCCTTCCCCGCGCCCCTGTCCCGCCTCCGGCGAGCCCGCCCCGATCGCTGCCCCCGCGGAGCCGGGAGGTCACCGGCCCGCGCCTCCGCTCCCCTGGGCCGCGCACCGCCTCCACGCCCTCCTCCTCCTCCCCAGGCTGGGCGCCTGGCACCGGGGGCCGTTGCCTGACGCGCAAGGCCCAGCTCCACTTTTCGCTCCGCGTCTCCTCCTCCTCCTCCAACTCCTCCAACTCCCCTCGCCCTCGGACTCCGCTCGCGAGCCCTCGACTCCGCGCCCGCCCGCCACTCTCCGTCCCGCCCCGAAGGTGGGAGCGCGTCCGCCCCGGCCGGCACCATGGCACGCTTCGTCTTGCCTGCGCTGCTCTGCACCCTGGCCGCGCTCAGCGCCGCGCCGCTGGCTGCCGAGCTCAAGTCGAAAAGTTGCTCGGAAGTGCGACGTCTCTACGTGTCCAAAGGCTTCGACAAGAACGATGCCCCCACGCACGAGATCAACGGTAGGTGGGAGCCCCCGGGAGGCGAGCGCAGAGACGGGACAAGGGGCCGCAGGAGCCCCCTCGCCCCGCCGCCCCCCGCGCCGGACGCAGGTAGCCGAGACGGAGAAATGGGCAGGCGCGCCAGAGCGAGCCCCGACGCAGAGCGTTCCCTGCGGACGCGGGGGCCCCGGGTGCGCAGCAGGCGGAGGGGCGCCCCCGAGTTACCAGGCGGCACTCCCGCGCTCTGCTTCCTTCCCCCACCCCCCCTCCGGCGGTCTCCCTGGTCCCAGGAAGCCCCAGAGGACTCTGGACCGCAAAGTGCGTGTCACCGGCTCCCTCGCCTTTTCCGGGTTGAACTCCTTACTGGGCTCCCCGCTTTGTTGTGTGGATGACGAGAGGTCGGGTAGGGTGGAGGTTGCCAGGTTCCGGGGGGCGCAAAACGTGGAACTTGATGTTTCATTGATGTTCTTTCAAAACCCACTCCCCGCCTCTCTTCCACCGCTGACACGGATTAGGAGTTTTAGTAGCTACAGCGGCTTTAGAAGTGGCCTTTAAAAAGCAAACGACTCTCCACTCCCCCAAACCCTGACTTTTGGGGACTCTCCTGCTTTCCGGAACGTGTTGGACGAGAAGGGTATTATCCCCCCTTTTCTTTATTTCTCACCTCATTTTAAGGGTTAATTGCACTTTAAATTACAAACATTTGAAAGGACTGATTACTGGAAGCCTGGATCTCAGTTGGGAGATGGTTATGCAAATAGAGACCGCTTAGCCTGTGAAAAAGTTCACCGGGTTTCAGCGCTGGGGGTGCGTGGGGTGTTTGTGAAAGCCCTTCTTGGAGCGCTGGGGAGGCAGCTTTGCGGCGGGTGCCCTTCGCCCCTCCTCGCCAGGCTGGCGGCGGTGGCCGGGCCGATCCCCTCTGGGTGGCACTCATTCGCAGAGGCCAACTGTTGCGCGCAGTCCCGCGGGCCGCGCTGGGGCCAGCGGCCGCGCAGGTAGCCTCTTCGCCCCGAGGGTTCGGAAAGAACCACGAATCTAGCTGGCTGATGGCCAGCTTAACCTAACGGAGAAGTGAGCGATTCGAGCCCCGGGGGCCAAGCCTCCATTCCAAACCTTTCATGGAAGTGAGCAGAGCGCGCCTTTGCCTCGCGGTGTTGGTCACCCGGGTGGGGCGGGCAGGGGGCCGGCAGCCAGCAAAGGAAATACTGTAATTTCAACCAGGCGCTTCCAAAGGCTTAGGAAGACTTGGGGGTCATTTTTTGGGAAGGGCTATTAATAACCTTGGAGATTAAGTGCAGTCATCAATTACATAAAAATTGCAAAGGTAGTTGAGGGAAGTTGCTGGGCACTTTTCGAGTGTGACCGGCATCTATCTAGAAATAGAACCTAAGAAATGGTTGGAGCAGCCTAGGACCCCACGCACCTTGGGAGTTATCAAGTAACTCGCACGTTACTGATTAGAGACTGTTTGCCCTTGAGCTGCTTGTCTTTTGGGGAGCTCACGTCTGTCTTCACAGCGGCACGATTTTATTGGTTGTAGAGCCCTAAGAAGCCCTCTTTCTTTCCCCTCTCCCTTCCGCCCCGCTCGAAAAAGTAAAGTTGAGTCAGTAGCCACTGAAGCTTGGGGGCTCCACAGGTCAGACCTGGGGTCTTTGTGCCCTTCACGGTTTGGACCCGGGGCCCAGCGGAGACGATTGGCGTGAAGGTTACAGTTGTCATTCCCACATTTTGAAGGGATAGATGCAGCGATGCACTTAATGGGAACGTGACAAGTTTTCATCTTCTGCTCATGCCAAACAATATGTGCCTTTGAGGTGGACTGGAGGCGTTCGGGGAGTGGGCTGTGAAATTGTCCTCCCCACTTTCTCCAACTGTGTTCTGTGCAGGCTTGCAAGGGCAGGACACCTTCCCCCGCCAGCATCTCAGGAAAAAGGAAGTTTGAAGGGTGCCCAAGGACAGTGCTAGGTGTTCCCTTTGATTGTCATGGTCCCCAGAAAACACCTGAGGAATGTTTTTGCATAAATATTTCTCTGGGCATATTCCCCCTAAAGATAAGAGCGTTATTAGTGACCAGGAGCAGGAAATGGAAGCTAATGTGCTCACACCCAAAACATTTTATTCTTTTTGTCTTGTCCTTCATCTCCCTCCCAGGGCTGCTGCTTTTATTTCCCCTTTTGAATGACCTACTGGACTGCATTCTCCCGAGGAACAAAGGAAGTGCCTTTTTAGCTGGAATCCTTGGAAGACCACCAAGGACTTTAGCTCATGCAGTGCAATTTCGCACCACTTTCAACAATAACAAAAATGCATGACTGAATGGCTCAAAAATGTGGAGTGTTAGAGGCATTCATTTGAGTCTAGGACACTGTCACAACACAGACAGACCCAAGTAAATACCTTTAGACGGCCAGTATAGAAACGGGGGTAATCTTTACCATCACCCTGGCCTCTCCAGCTGCATACATTGTCGTTGTCTTCCCTGGGCTCCACTCAGATAATTTTGGTCATTTGGGAGAGCATAGTCAACGTAGCGACTTGAATGAATTAATTGCCAGGCACTTTCCTTGGTTGGGGCTGTGTGCGTATGTTTTCTTAAGTGCAAAAAGTCCAGGATTGTTTTCCAGGCAAAGGGTCACAGTGTCTGGGTGCCTAGCCCCAAGTTTAAGGTTTGATTCTTGATGGCCTTGCACTTGCCTTCTAGAGGTTTGAAGAGGCTTTGAGAATACTCCACGTTCTTAAGGAACGTTCTCAGTCTTTTTAGATCATAATTAAGATAATTTGATGTGCTCACAAGGGTGTACACAGCATGCTAACAGGGCTCCGACCTAGGTCCTGCATTGCCTATCCACTTGACCCCTGAACTTAACCAAATAATGCGTAGCCCAGATGCCATGATCAAAAGGGATCTTTAACACAAAGGATGGGTTTTTGTTCAGCTTTCAATGGGCATATCTTTTGGAGCACCTACTCTGTGCGATATTCTGTGCTCAGCATCATGTGGGCAGCAAGAAGGATGGGAGGGCCTCTGCCACCAGGACCTTCCCAGGTAATAGGGAGATAAGCCTTGCACACACACGATTGGAATACAACATGGTGCGTGATAAGGACCATATGAGTGGTACAGATGAGAAAGGAGTACACGGGGAGTTCAAGGGAGAAGGGATTTGGGACTAGGCTATTAACTTACTAATGGTAGTTCAATAGTGTAAAAAAAAATAGTATTTATAACAAGAAATTGTAAAATCTTACCATTCTCATTGCATCTCCCTCCATAAGGACAGGATAAAGGATATGCAACAATTGGCATTTATTACTAATCTAATCTTTGCTTGAAATTGTCTTGAAGAGTGACGCAGTTGGTTAGAAACCTGCTTCACCTTGCCAAAGGTCCCTTCCACAGCGATATCGAATGATACCAAGGAGAACTTTGCATCACAGGTGTGATTTGGGAGTTTTTATTTTCCTGTTCCCATTTATGCTCATGACCAGTGCACCTGTGAGTGTGCGCGCATGCTCATATGTGTACCTCTGAGAGAATCACATAAACTATGTTAGGATTACATGGGAAAACGTGTGCTGGAGAAGTAGGAATACTTTCTGATACTGCGTTGATTATTCCATGTAAGACACCCAGCATGTCTTCAAGAATTGTATTCCCTCTTACCTACTTTAAGTAGATGGGTTGGATTTTGCAGAGAACTTGTGATTTTTCTCACCTGTCAGTATAGAAATTGTCCCAAGTAGTACAGGGACTATCTCCTGGACATGCTCAAAGAAGAACTTGGTAAAAGTTCTGGCTTATGCAGCTCAATCTCTAGTTAGAACATACAACTATAAAATGTTTGATTCAGCATAATTACTATTTTCCTTTTTTGTTTGACTCACATTGGGTTGCATGCAATTTCAGGATGAGCTGGAGAGTAGACTGAGGAATGAAAAAGGAAGGTTTTTTTTGTTGTTGTCTCAACAAGGGAAACATCAGTGTTCATCTAAGTCAGTTGGGAAGGGGTCTGTGGCTCCCCAATAACATCTGTTTTAGCCCTGAGGTGGTTGCCATATATGTTCACCAAAAATGCATTTTGGCTTCAATGAAAAGATGAAAAGAGCTAGTGGCTATTAAGTGCTTTCTCTGGGCCTGGTCCTAAACAAGATTGTCTCATTTAAAGTCCACAGCAACTGTATAAAATCAGAATGATGATTATATTCATCATCCCCATTTTACAGACAAACAGATTCAGAGGGATTTAGAAATCTATTCGCAGTCTTACAGCTAGTTAATGTTGGAGGTGGGATTTGAACCCTAGGTCTTATCTGACCCAAAGTATAGTCTATGCTGTGTTGTACAGATAATGGGAAAGTACCTTCCCAACTCCGATAGGGGGCTGGTCTTAGAAACATAAGCTATGAGAGGACCAGCAACTAACTGGTAAAAGACCATCATCACAGCACTATGCTGATGCTCTAGTAGAGAGATCCAGTCATGTCCTTTGCAGGCAAAGTGTTGTACCCGGACAGAGATGATCTAATGTTAACATCAGAAGGACTGTAAATTGTATTTCCTGGGTCATGGGGAGCCCACGATAGCTTCTGAGGAGGGGAATTTCATTAGTCAGGCTGTTTCAGGAAGATAACTAGTGGCCCTGCAGAGTTCAGCCTTGGTGAGGCAAGGGGAAGGCAGGGAGAGCTGTTGGGAGGCCGTTTTAAATAGTTCTTAACTGCCTCTTGTCTGTTACATCGGATCCATGGTCTTTGCACACAGCTGTCTTGTTTCCTAGTTCATCATGTGTGCAGGCACATGTGTGTCTTCTTGCCTCAACTGTAAGTAACCTGAGGACAGATGGCAGCTCCTGGCATTTTGTGTGCCCAATGGTACCAGGTGCGCGAGTGCGGTGCAGTTATTTGTTAAACAGGTAGGGGGATGACAGATAATTGTATCGCCTTGTCTGGCAGGACACCGGTGCTATCATGGGATTATACTGCCTTGGTGATAGATCATCATCCCATGGTCTCTTGCTCTCCTG